ACCACTCTTAGAATGAAAAATTTCTTCCTTGTATCTAATCGAAATCTCCCCTCTTTCAGTTTAAAGCCATTGCCCCATGTCCTGTCACTACACGCCCTTGTCCAAAGCCCCTCTCCAGCTTTCTTGTAGTCCCTTTAGGTACTGGAAGGCTGCTAGAAGGTCTTCCCGGCGCCTTTTCTTCTCCAGGCTACAGAGCAAAGATCTACAACAGCCCTTTGCTCCCGTATTAACCAGTTACATTTTCCTATTCCACGATTCAGTGGTGAGGGGCTTTCCCTGGGCACAGCAGGGCCGTCGGCAGTTTGTTCACGTTGAGCCCGTGGGGGCAGACGCGCTGGGGTTTGCTGCAGCCAGTTGACGTGCGTGTCTGTCTGCAGCTGCAGCCGGAGCAGCTGGACTGCGGAGCGGCACACCTCCAGCACCCGCTGGCCATCGTCAACCCTGTCACCGCGACCCCCGTGTTCACCTACAGTGGCCTGACCGCCGTGGCCGTCGCCAGCGGCAAACACCGTGGTCTTCCTGGGCACTGCCAGCGGAGGACTCCTGAAGGCAAGTGGAGCCTGGCAGCACCGACGCGGGGTGGGCAGGGCTGGGGCCAGGGGGGCGGTGGGGCTTTCCCCTCCAGCACCTCTGGTTCGCGCTGGGTACGAGGTCTGTGTTGAGCCCGAGCACCTGCTTCCGTTGGGCAATGGAGAAGTCATTGGATGCTGCTGTAATCCGTACGGTGATACATGCTGCCTGGCGACTGGTGGCCGTTAATTACTGTTGGAGGCTGCCACGCGAGCAGGATGTTCTTGACAAACCCTATGCTGGAAATGCTGTCGTGCAGCATTTAATTATTAACAGCTCTTCTAGTAAATTCCCCCCCTGAGCTGATGACTTTTGAAGGCTCCATGTAGGTAGGGGAATCACCAAGGGATGCCTCATCACAGCTGAGTCCAAAGCAGGTGTGAATTCACGCATCTGGTGGAGTATCTGTTTTAAATAATGTGCCGAAGGCAGCGTAGGGCAATGCGATACCCTGGCTCCGGAGCCAGGGAGCGAGGCCAAGGTTTCAGTAACTCTAGCACTTGAAGTTTGCCAAAGAAAGTTTTGATTCCAGCCAGCCACAACAGTTTGGTGTACTCTGAGCATCAAAAGTCCGCAGAGGAGAGGGGAAAAAAGCCCTGGAGCAGAGGCACGGCTGGTACCCGCTTTGTCTCAGCCTGGGTGAGTGGTGCATAACGTGGAATATTGGATCAAAATGCTTGGAGAGAAGAAAACTGATCCGATCTCTTCCCTCACGTCCAAGTGCTCCTGGCAGAAGTGTGGGAACGATCACAAAGAAACTCACTGCTTTGAGTTTTGCCCGCAGGGACAGGTAATTCACGGGGGTGGGAGGAAGCTGGCACCCCGGCCAGGCGCACGGGGCTGGAGAGGCACGTACCACCCGCAGCGCAGCCCTGTTCACGCGGCGTCACTCCGCTTCCATTATCGTCTCGGAGAGCGCAGCCTTATCTGCTGGGCCTCCATTAGGGAGAGGCTCCTGGCCACCCTTTGCTGGGATAATTTGCTCAGATAGCTCTAATCTAATTCTGCAACACAGCTGCATAACCAGAAGCCCTTTTACCTTCGGGGCTCCTTGTTATTTGGCACGGGATACAAGATACTTTGCGGGATTTGTCATTCAGATTTGCTGCCTGAGAAAAGGCAGCAAAGGGGCAGAAATAGCGCTCGGCCGGCTCCTGCCAGCGGCAATTACGGCTGCCAGGGGTGAGTATGGGGAATCAATCAGATGGGCTGCAGACGGGCATTTCGTGAGGGCCCTTAGCAGTGCCATGTCCAGCAGTCGTGGAAGGAAAAGCAGCGCTTGGGAAGTGGTGCCCAGGGCAAGGTGTGCCAGGGCGCAGTGCCCTCAGAGGAGACCGAGGTGGGAAGGGTCTGTTCCAGCAAGTTCCCCTGAGTCCAGGTCTGGACATCTGTAGACAAGGTGCTGTGGTGGGCTTTTGCAGAACGTCAGACCACCCTGCTCTTGCCAGCGCCGGTGCAGCACGTGTGCCCCAGCACGCCCAACCCTGCTCCAGCGTGAGGACGGCAGTCGCTGCCCCTCTGTGCTGCTGTCTGTGCTCTGCGGTGGGGCTGCAGCTTGTGGGGATCCAGGGAAAGTGCCTGTGCAGTGAAAGTGTAGGGTAAACGAGCCCAGGAGGCAGAGGGACGTGGGGACAGGTGCCTGGAAACAGCCAAGCGTAGAGCAGATCTCCGCAAGAAGGGAGAGAGGATGATCGCAAAGCTAAAGTGGAGGGCATCAGAACTCGGTTCGTGGGCATGTTGGATGATGGCAGGCAAATTATTTAGGTTTTGGATAGCCAGCTTTTAAGCTGGGGATAAGGATAGTGCCCCTCTTTTTCTGCACAGTGGCTTGCAGTGCGTGCGTATGGTTCCGAGCCGAGGGAAGCCCTCTGCTTTGAGCTTGTGCTATCTTACGAGGACATGTCGGTCTGCTCTAGTGTAAGAATTAATTAATCCTATGTTAATTAATTAATCCAGACTTCAGAGAGCAGAGGCACAGTCCTTACAATTGTTGCCTTCCCTTGCTAGTAAGGAGGTAGGAATTTTCCTCGCTCTCTCTCTGTTTTAAGCTGAAAAGGGACTGTCATGCAAAATTGTGTAGCCCTATTGTTATTTCCTCTCAGCAACGCCACATTTAATTTGCTGACTTTTCAAGTCAAATGCCAAGGCATTCTGAGATCTGAAGGGCAGGCTGATGCTTCGCAGCCTGTTCCATCACTGCCAGCGCTGCAGCTGGTGATTCACGAGGCAAGGTGGGGTTCGGCACTCCTGCAGCAGCTGCCGTGGTCTTCTGGAGTGAGCAGGAACAAAAGCTTCTTCTGCCCAGGAATGACAACGCTTATTTTCCAAATGTGCAGGGAGCAGGGGATGCCGTGTTGCACAGCTCTGTTGCTGATTCTCACTGTTTTTCGTTAGGCTTTGGAAATACAACGTTCTCTGTAACAGTGATGCACGTGTGTGCGATGAGGGCTGAAGGCTGGTGCCACTTCCGTTAGGGTGAGATGACAGTGCCGCTGCTGTGCCCGGCTGCAAACCGCTGTGCCGCGGGTAGAGCCCTACTCTGAAAGGTTTCCAGGCAGCCTCTCAAGCAGAGGGCTTTAAACAGAGGGACCAAGGGCTGCGGGGGTTGTTCCTCAGGGAGCAGGGCTCCTGGCCGTGGCCTGGGCTTTATGGAGCATGTGGTGCTTCCCCACGACACAGAGGTGGCTTTTCAGTAAAGCTCTGTGCGTGCGGCCCGCAGAGTGTGTAGAGATTTACAGTGCTTGAAAACGTGGAGCACTGTTAGATACCTCTTTGATTCTTGTTTATAATCGAGGAAAGGTAATCTTCTCCCCATAGTGTTTGAAAAATGGTCTCAGCAAGTGACTTCTTCTCACTACAGATTAATCTGGACAGTACCATGAAGGTTATTAGCAGGAGATCCATTTCGGTGGCTTACGGAGAGCCTGTCCACCCCATCATGCAGTTCGACCCTTCTGATTCCACCTACCTCTACCTGATGACCTCCTACCAGGTGAGACCAGTCTTCAGCAAAATAGTCCTTTGAGCACTGTGCATTGGATTTGGCGCTCAGCTGGGAGCAGGAAGGGACAGTAAGGTTTGCTTTCATCTCAGTGGGCAGAGCCGAGGAGCTCAGAGCTTTGGCTGGGGTGTCAAAGGGCTTTCCAGGGCGGGTAGCGGTGCCTGTCCCTCCTGCGCGGGCAGGGCTCACGCCGAGCGGACTGGCTGGTCGGGCTCTCTTGCTGTGGCAGCCAGGTAAAAGGAGAGTGAAAGATGTCAAACTGATGCTGCTTGCAGGAGCGCAGCAATGAGCAGAGGTTGTTCCTGTACACAAACCTGAAGATTATGGTACATGGTCTTTAAGGAGACTTTTAGGAGATCCTGCAGACAGGAACGGTCCAGGAACGGCGGGAGGGCCGGGTGGGAGGAGGGCTCTCTGCGGAGACCAGGAGTGCCGCAGCAGGTACAGACAGACGGCCTCATCTCCGTCGAGTGAGCAGAGGAGGAGAGCTGAGTGCTCCAGGCTCTGGTGCTTTGTCCTGAATTACATTTTAATCTGTCAAAACAGATGCACAACCACAAATGCTGTATGTTGCATTTCTATTTTCCAAGCCCTAATTCCCTGTGGAGCGGTCATTACCATTTCACAGAGCCCCCCGGGACGGCTCTTCAGCCGCCGTCTCGGACTCTCTGGTCTCGGCTCCGGGCTGGGCTGTGCGCCTCGGTGGGCTCGGTCAGACGCCCGCTGCAGCACTGGCCGCGTGCTCCTCTCTCTGCTGCTTGGCCAATAAACCAGCTGAGTTAATTTTTCTTTGCTGGAATTAGCATCCTGGGAAGGTGCCCTGGAGTCGGGGCGGGGGTACTGAGCACCGCAGGGCTGGGGAGCAGCGAAGGGCTGCGGGTACAGCGGGGTCAGGCCAGGGAGCCCACGGCCCGCGGTGCGCCTGCCTGGTGGGAGCGCGGGGCTCTCGGCACCTCGCGTCGTCAGCCCCCGCTGTACCGCACGACTCGGTTTACCTTCCCAAGTGTTTAGAAACTGGGGGAGGAAAAAGCAGGAACCAACACATGCTTTCCCTCCGACTGCTCCTACCGAGCGAGTCCCCAGAGGTGCTTTGATTTCTTTACAAATTAAGGTTTCCAGAGCGGTGTTGCTTTCTGGTCATTCGTAAACAGCCAGGTAGCGTTCAGGTCTGTCTAGAAAGGAGCTTTCTGCGGGTCTGAGTGAGAGCTTTGCCCAAGGAGGGCCAGGCTGTGGAGCCATCTCCATCCGGTGCGTCAGAAAGGTGCGGTGTTGCTCTCCGTAGCCCGACCATCACACATCTATGGCCAAGGTGCCGCTGAAAGGGAGCAGCTCGGCTCGGCTCAGCACTGCTGCACCCTGTGGGGCCACCATGCCCCGTGCCTTGGGCATCTGTGTCTGCTGGGACGGGCTGTGCTGGGGCGCAGCAGGGCAGCGGGCAGCCGCCTGTGCCTGTCCCTGCGTGGGCTGGTGGTACGCAGAGCACCCACCTCGAGGCATTGTGGGGTGGAGGGTGGTGCCAGGGTCTACTCCTCATCGCCCGCTCCGTAAGGCTTGATCCAGGCTAATGGCTGCGCTGGCCTGAGACGCCGGTGTCTCGTCGCTAGCTATGCATGGCTGTGCCAGCGCATCCTGGTCGGATGGAGCGTGTCCGCGGTGGTGAGCAGTGTTTGGAGGCAGCTGTGCTGTTGTCGTGCAGATGACGCGGGTGAAGGTGGCTGCCTGCAACCAGTACCTGACGTGCGCGGAGTGCCTGGCTGCCGCTGACGCCTACTGCGGGTGGTGCACCATGGAGACCAGGTAGGACTGGCTGTGTCCCGGCGCGCTTCGCCATGTCCTTCGGCCCTCGCACCTGGGTGAGAATTTCTGGTGCCTTTTTTGTTTCCACGCAATCACCCTACCGTTAGTCTTTGCCCTTTCCTTATGAAACACCTGCTTTTAAAAACAGTTGCATCTGCTCTCAAAGGGCTGGGATGCTCTTCAGAGACAGGATTTAACTGTAGCTGCATCGTTACGCTGCAGTCAGCTGCCAGCGCAAAGAATATCTTGCAGGCATCCAACCATGGGACCGAGAGCGCCAACACCCTGTTAAAGACCCTCTTTCACCCTTGCAGTTATTATTTATGAGCAGGAGACAATCAATGCTCAAAAAGGGATTTACAAAATTAGGCTCCGCGTTTTCAAATTGAAGAAATCAGACAAAATGTCACCTTCTCTTCGGTTCTGGGTTGGGCCTTCTCTCTCTTACCCCGAATCCTGACGCTCCGTTGGTGCTGGTGGGAGTACGCGCCCTTATCGTAGCAACCAGACACTTTAAATATAGCAGCAAAGCTTTAGGCTTAGGCGCACGGGTGGAGGAGAAGGATGCAGGCACAGGATTTTCTCAGGATCTTCCCTCACAGGGAAGCCAACGTTTTTATCACCTGTTTTAGAAATGATCAACCGTTAATTGTTCCCCTGTTGGCTGCAGGTGTTCTCTGCAGCACGAGTGCACGAACTTCACAGGGGCCAACTTCTGGGCGAGCGCCAGCGGCGGAGTGCAGCAGTGCCCTTCCATGGCCATCCTGGAGCCCGAGATTAACATTGACAAAGAGAACCCGGTGCGTTTGGTGTGAATACCGAATCGCTCATGTGCAGCGTCCTGGAGAGTCGTTACCTGCTCTCGGGGCTGATAAATATCAACAGTCCCCTGGCGCTGTGGCGCGGCTGCACGCGGCTCGGCTGTAGGTCGTGGGGATGCGGAGCTCTGCTGTATGCTCCCGAGTCCGGCCGAG